TGGTCTATATCAAGTATTTTCTAAGTATTTTCTATTATTTAATATTAACAATTTTTCATTACATTTACCGTACAAAAAAGCCTACTAAATTTCTCTTTTTTTTATGAACCGACGTAGAGGTGAACATAATACGACTTTAACCGGCAGGATTGGTCGTTACAGAATCAATCAAGGTACAGCACTACTCCGGATTGAACGGCGCAAAGTGTTGTCTTGAGACACCGAGCGCACTCGTCCTGACTTACGTACCAGTATCTAATGTACCCACGTTCCATTTAAATATAGTGAGCACAAAGTGGACCCTGAGTATTCCGTCAATCCATGCTAATTCAACATCATCTAATAAATGGTACTTAGAACTCGGTCAAATAAGTGTATAAAATAAACCTTTTGTAGACGACTTTGAGACTTTTTCAGTATAACGATCGAATGGAATCTTTGCATTTTACGACTGCCCGTTCAACATCACATTCCTTTTACACCACCCTACCCAACCCACACGCGACCAAACTCCTTACGTCCACTGGTCTCGGTTACCCAAATCGCGACCACTCCTGTCGTAGTACCCACACCATCGAAAGTCAATCGTAAGAACCTCGAAGGTCATCCGTTCCATGGTGCTACAAGAGTAATACTCTGTCATAAATGGTTCGCCCGTCATTAGGGCGATGATAGTCCCTAAAGAGTACTTAACATCGGTTCCACCTCAACACCCCCCCACATCAGTCAGTTCTGGTTACCTGCCGGCGGTCCCAAAGGCCGATAAAGCTCAATCCCCACATCGACCAAAGTACCCAGTGCCCCCGCATGGACGGCGCGGGGTCCGTGTAAACAGAAAGGTGACCGGAGCTCCGCCGAAGTGGACACCCTATACTGTCTTAATTATTCTAACTATACAAAAAAAAAACACTAAAACAAATATTAAAAAAATGACCAAACTTGTCTTCACCTATTTTCCTGTGGTTCACCCTAAATACATTAATCCACAACAAGTATCTGTCACCCACCAGTGTACTCATCCGACCGCCCGAAGGGGCTAGCCCCATGGGCTCTGCCGGTTGTCGAACCGGCGGCCTCCACGTTTCATTTAAATACCTCCACATCACTTACTTTTACACCACCCTACCAAACCCCACGACAAAAACTCTTTTAATGGTTCACAACCCCTCTGTATACCCTTACCAGACATTACTTTTCACCCACTATGTCCTTATCCTTTTAACAACCCCATCTACAGCCAAATTCAGTCAGGTCTGGTTACGGTGCCCGTCCTCAATCCAAAACCAATCCTACATATTCCAAGATATGCGCGATATTACTCCAAACGGCCATATCCCTTATACAATCGTGACCCGGATCCCAGCACCCCTATCTCCAACAGAGAACGACCCAAAACAAATAGGACAAATACATCATTCCTTGGTTCTTCCTACAACCAGTTCATCCTAAGCGTATTCACCCGATCCTGATGTAACACGATAACCCATCTCCGCCCAATGGAAAAGTTGGGCCGACCCTCCAGCCCATGCCTCCTTATGTCCTGGGGAGTGTGGTGTCCGACCGGCGGCCTCCACGTTGTATATTAATATAAGACCCCACATCACAGTACCGTGTTACACACACCCTACACAACCCGCCCAACCGACAAAAATCCTTTCAAGTGGTTCCACACCCCCTGTATACCCACCAGACAAATTACTTTCCACCCTATGACCGTCGCCTATCCTTAACACCCACCTCAACAACCCCCACATCAGTCAGGTCCTGGCGTTACACGACGGTATGGCTCACCGATGGGTCCAATCCGAGAAAGCCAAAGCTCCCCATCACAATACCCAAGGCACCATACCTTAAATTCGTGACCGGATCCAGACACCTACCACAACACCAAACAATAGGACAATCCATCTGTTCCCTCTAACAACAAAGTATTCTGTCACCCACCCCGAGTTACCATCACGCCGACGAAGTGGGCCCTCAGCCCATGCTCTGGCCGGGTTTGTTTCGACCGGCGGCCGTCCAACGTATTGTATTAAATACCCCAAACAATCACATTTCTTTTAACCACCCTCCCACAACCCACGACAAAAAACCCTTCACTGGTTCGCCCACACCCCTCCTTGTGAATACGACCTTCACCCCAGAATCATACTCTTCTTTCACCCTCGGCTATGTCCTATCCTTAAGCGCGAGCCACCTAGAGACCCCGCACCACACGTCTCAGTCCAGGTCCTTGGTGTTAGCCGTGCGTGATCGGGTCCCCAGAACTCCGAACCAAAAACCAGATATCCCCATCACAATCACACACAGACAGCCATACGCACCTACCCTAAGACAACTCGGTGAACCCGGGGATTCCCAGAGGCACCCTAAAACCTGACTAAACACTCCAAATCAAAAAGTCGGTGGACAATCACATTTCCTGGTTCTAAGCCTGCGCGCTACCCAACAGAGAGCTAATCAGCGTTGTTACAGACTCACACCGAGTTACCCTATCCCCGCGAGAGGTTGCCGACCGAAGGTGGCCCTCCAGCCATGCGGCTGCCCGCGGTTACAGCGCGTGCGTGGCGTCGGAGCGCGGGCGGCTCCACGTCTCGTTCGTATTCAATACCAATCACAAATTCTTTTACACCACCTTACACCACCACGCACACTCGTATCCCACAAAAACTCCTTCCAATGGTTCCAACCACCCACTGATGTACATACCCTCACCAGACATTACCTTTTCACCCCAACTCATGTCCTATCAATTTAACTAGAGCCACAGCCCACCGTCACTTCTCACCACACCGCTCGCAAGTGCATATCCAGTCAGGGTCTGGTTACCGGACTTGCCCACTCCACGACACCGGACTTACAAGTGCGAATCCCAATACCCAAAAACCAAGTCCCCATTACAATACCCGAAGGATTAAGCCTTAACCGAGATCCGTGACCGGATCCCCGGAGGAACAGACCTACCCTCCGACAAACCCCAAAACAATAGGACAATCACATTCCTGGTTCCTCCTACAACAGTATCTGTCAGCCCACCAGGAGTATACCCATGCCCAACGCCATTGGTACGAGTTGCGGACCCGGTGCCGTCCGTTTACCTTGCCCCAGCCACCTATTGCTCTTCTGGGAGTCTGGTTGTTTCGGAACCGTGCAGAGCACGTTCCCACGTTATGTATATTAAATATAGTACCTCAACATCACCAGATTCCTTTACACACAAACATTGTCAGACTCAACAACACAACCCACCTGTACAGGTAACCAAACTCCGTCTTCAAACTGGTTAGAGCAGCAGAGAAACAACGCGAGCCGCCAAAGGTAATGACCCCCGCAAACTACCAACACCAGCTCTCACTATCTATAGTTCCTGATTCCAGTGCTCAGCTGTGCCGCAATGTCTTAGTGTTGCTAGCGAGAGCGCTGTGACTATTAACAGCCAACTATCCATACATCTATCCACATTAACTAAACAACTAACAGAGCGAGAGAGTGCACGAGTAAGACCACCTACGCGGTGACCACGCGAAATTGCTAGCATCTGCACCATCATCCGACAGGCCACAGAGATTTGCATCCGTTAAGTCGGTGCACTGTAAAGTCCGGTGCCACTGAGCGTTTTGGACGACGACGTTCTACTACACAACATCGGTGTACAGCGCGAGCGCAATAAGCACTCGTGTAACGAGGGTGAGGACAGCGAGCGCCCGAGACTGTCAACCGCCCGGACACCTAGTAGCTACTAAAACCTCCGAAGAGATGCGAGATAAGGACAATCACAATCCTGTGGGTCCTCCTAAACAGATTCTGTGCACCCACCCACGTTTACACTCCCAGCACGAACTGGGCCCCTGCAGCGACCCCAATGCCTCTGGCCGTTTCGGCGACGAGGCGGCCCGCTCCACCGTTGTATTGTCAATACCAATCCCGGGAACTATTCACATACACCACAGCGCGGTCTCGTGTTACCCGAATAGTCCATATCGTTGTCGAGTCGACGATCACCGGAGCGGACGACGCGAGCCGAGAGCACGACCCGACAACTCGTGTGTCCCGATGGCAATAGAGACAATCCCGGGTACACGGCCTCTCCTCCATGCCAATTATATACCACTCACTATTGTCTACGTCCCAGGATCATTTCCTGGTACGTCCATTTTTGTACAGCTAACATGAGTCATGTCAAACAATCCTGTAACCATTGTCTCAAAATTCCTTAGTCTTACAAGTACACATTCATAACCTTATGAGAAGTACAAAACACACAACACATCGAACACATTGGCCTACAATTATCAATATGATATACACTAGCGTAGCTATATGTATAATTTCTCGTAATTGTCACATTCCTTCATTATTACCTCAAACAAAAATACATTCACACCCCATCTATATCACATATACCACCCCCGAAGCGCGCGCGCGAATCCCGCGTGAACATACCGGCCGAGAGCGCGAGAGAGGTCCCGCGTAAGGACCGCTCTACTCTCCCCACCAAATCCCAACCACCCATTATATGACAGGTGTATCAACTTAGAACATATACCGATCGCTTCAAGTGCTCTCTGCACTTCGACACATACTAATGCTAGAATGGTTCTGAGTTCGATCTATCGACACGACACCGGAGAGGTAGCGTGTGAACCGGCAGCGTAAAACCGCAAAGAATTCCATTCTGCATCCGTCATCACACCTGAAAAAGCTCGTCACTCGAATAGTCTCGTCACCAAAAGGTTATTTTTCAGTACCACTTATTTACCGATCTTAACGCAGTACCACCCTAACTAAATGGCTAACTTTAGATCATGACGGAATACTCGAGCACGTGCTCACTTCTTCCTCGACCCGCGGGCCCCCTTCCCCCACCGTGTGTACATTAATACCCCACACCATTCTTTTACACCACCCTACACCAACCACGACAAACAACCTCTTCAAACGCGCGTTCCCACACCCCTTGTATACCCTACCCAGCACATTACTTTCCACCCTAGTCCATCCCTTAACACGCCACCACCTCCACACCCACATCAGTCCAGTCTGGTCACCGTTGCCCGTCCCAACACTCCAAAACCAATCCCATCACAATGACCCAGCGCCCATACCCCCTCTAAAACTCGGCTGACCCGCGCATCCAGACCACCTACCCCACAACACCAAACAATAGTACAAAATCACCATCTCTCCCTGGCTTCCTCCTCACAACAAAGTATCCCTGGTCCACCCACCGAGTCTACCCCACCCCCCATCAGCGAACGAAAGTGGCCCCTCAGCCATGCTTTCGCCGGTTGTCCACCCGGGCGGCCTAACACCGTTGTATTAATACCCCACACCTCACATTCTCGGTCTTTACCACCACCCTACCACAAACCACGACACAAAACTTCCTTCAATCGGTTCCCACCACTCTGTATACCTCACCAGACATTACTCTTCCACCCCCCCTAATTCCCTATTCCTTTACACACCCCACCTCCACACCCACATCAGTCAGGTTGGGTTACCCGTGCCCCGTCCCACCAATACCAAAACCAACATCCCATAACAAATACCCCAAGGCCATACCCTTACACAAATCGTGACCGGATCCCCAGACACCTACCCACAACACCCAAACCAATCAGGACAATCAATTCTGGTTCCTCCCTACAAAAGTATCATGTCACCCACGGTACCCATCCCAACGCCGACGACAGTTGGGCTCCTCCAGCGACACTATCATTACATGCTCCTATACTGATTCTGTGCGAAATACAGGACCGCGTTGCGTCGAACCCGTGCGTGTTCTACGCTCTATCTCAATCCGGTTTGTGTCCTATATCTGTAATAACGACAAACTCGGTTAGCTCCGTCACATCACACTAGTCACCTCTTTATCTACGTCATAACACACTACACACACAATAAATCACTTTTTGTGACCAACGACCATAGAGAGAATAAGAGGAAGGCACATCCGTTAATATTTAATATAACATAGATAAGAGTGTATTAGAAAACCTACACACCCTCATTCATTAGATCCAACATATATAACGAGTAAAAGGTATTTTCTTTTTTCTACATAAACTCAAACACAAAATAACTCAAACTACGTATGTTGTATGACATGACAATGCTAACAATGCCAGGGGGAGGACATCCCTCCTTTTTTGTTGTGGCCGTGTGTCTACAAAACAGATACTTAATATTTGCCACAAATTACACCTATTGTGTTTTACGTGTTGTCTGTACCTCTGGTTTTCGCCATTTGCTCATTTTCCATAAAAGAAAAAAATGTATTTGAGTTTGTGTTTTATTTGAGTTTGATGCATACAAATACTGTACTGTATACGATTGTTACGTCCCCCTCTAGGGAGGAGGAAAACAACACACACCAGATGGTTTTGGTTATAATTATAAACGGGTTTAATGAATAACACAAAATGCACAACAACATGAGACCAAAAGGTAGCCTAAGCCAAACGAAAGGAGCCCAAAAGGGGCGCAGGTATAGGCCTACTGCTAGAACGGAAAGAGAACCCTAAAAGTGGGCCTAATCACACACCTGTGATCAATAGTAATCACCGCTAATCAAAAGAGGCTGCGGGGCAAACAGTTCGCAACGGGGAAAACAAACACGCTACGCTGAACACATATTACCACACGCTACTCTAAACACATAACAGTACACGGTATGCTAACACACATCACCACACGCTACTCTAAACACATAAGTGAACACCCCTAACACACACAAGAACTAGGCACAGTACAGAGAGTCAAATACGAGCTACTAGCTTCAGTAGATGTGTTCACACAGGAACAAGAAGTGTGAGGCGTCTGATTGCAGCAGAGCCTCCATAGTGATAGCTGTCCCCAGGCTTTGTAGCGTCATCTCCGGCAGGTGTGCGTGTCACACTCCTAGGTTTATGTCCCGGTTTTAGTGTTGTCTGTCTGGTTATGGGTTTTGTAAGTCTGTTCATTCGGTGTTTGGAGGAGGGGAGTCGAGGAGGGGAGTTAGAGAAAAGAGAAAGGGCCCCTATGTTTTCCTCCCTGTCGTTAGTTTCCCTGGTGTGTCTGATTGTCTCATTGTGTTCACCTGTTGCCCTTGTGTTTCTCCCTCCCCTGCCCAGCTGTGTCTTGTCCTGTGATTACCCTTCTGTGTATCTAGTCTTCCCCTGTGTTCCATGTCGGTTCAGTGTTTCCCCTCCATGTTATTCCACGGTCTGTGTTCCTTGTGCTGCTCTTTTGTTTTGCATATTTTGGATACTGCCTTTTTTGCCACAGCTTTTATTATTTAATAAAGCTCGCTTTTCGTTAAATTCTGCATTTGAGTCCTACCTGCTTCACCCAATCGTAACAGTGCGCTGGGATGGCTCGGGGATTGGAGCGCGTCGGGCCCGGAATGCTCCAATATGTATCTTCGGGGCGGAACCAGGAGTTGGCAGCCAATCACGCTGAAGTAACACATCATAGCTCATTCACATAACAGGATTAACAGAACCGGAGAGGCGCCAGCCGTCACAATGATGATTGTTGAAAATGTACTTTTACCATAAAAGGCCAGCTCGACCAGTTGGTTGAGGCTCATAAAAACAAAACTATGTGGTCAGTCAAAAACAAAACATTGTTTGTGCTTATTTGTGGTCCATTTGATAAGAAAATGCAAAAAAAGATGTTTCCATATCTTTTTTCTTGGTCTGGCAGTTAAAGGGTTAACTAGTGATGGCAAGATGAAGCTTTGAAGCTTTCCAGCCAATTGGTTCGCAAAAGGGTTCATCTCATGAGGCTTCATCATGGGCTTCATTTGAACACAAACCCCCTGTTGGTCAAAGTGTGTAAAACAGGCAGATTGGACATCTGAACAGTGTGCCATATCTCATACCGAGTTCCCAATGAGTAAAGCCTTAGAATAACTCTAAACAACCAACATACAATATCGTTTTTATTCCCGTTGAATGATTGTGATTGAAAAGCCTAAGGAGGCTGGTAAACATTGCAAAGAGGGATTTGTATTCCTTAATAATATTCATAAACTTAACCATGTTGTAGCCTGAGAAAGGCTAAACCATATCAAAGAACACATTTATTAACTACATTATCTCATTTAACAGTAGCTTTTATAAACAACAAAAAAGACGAGTTGTTCAGTCATTGAACCAGGGACCCTACGGTTATGAGTCAACTGCTTTCCAGCTGAGCCACAGCACACACACTGAATCTCCCTGACAACACTGGACCATATTTATTCCTGTATTTATTCATTTATTTATTCATGTTTTTATTCCTACATTTATTTATGCTTGTATCTATTTATACTTATGACATGTTCCGACCTCTATATAAGTGAGGGTCTGAGCTCTCTTAATTCCATCGTGTCACCGGGCCCGGGCACAGGAGGGGTAATATGGTTCTTATTATACATATATGTGTATATATGAGCGTTGTGGTTCAACGGTTCAACCGATCTGAATCACTTCCTGAAGCAGTCACGTGGTATCGACAGGCAGCGAGGCTTCGTTTGTCATCGATGACGTCACTGGCCCAAAACGATACAAGCCTCGATACATGCTTCATAAAAAGCTTCATAAAGCATTACTCGACACACGCTCCGAAGCCTCGGCGCAATACGTAACATCACTACTTGTACGTGCTAGCCTGCTGGTATTATCCCAATAGCAATGCAATAAACAATAAACCAATAGCAATAAACCCTAACCAGTTAACCACAGATCACAACCTCATTGGGGAGCTATAGAGCAGGTCATGTGATCACCAAAGTCAGTAGGAGTTATGCTTTAGGGACCATGTATATACATATTTAATGGCAATGAATGTCAGTCTGAAAATGTTTGACCGACATACGGACTGACTCCGCTATCTTTCACTGCATTAGTGTGGCCAAGAACCTGAATCAAGGATAAAAAGGAAATCACGATGAGACTTCCCTCTATTAACAGTGGGGTTATGGCCGCTTTACACATTTTCATCCTCATTATTGAATCAAGTGAGGAAAGCATAACTAGAGAGAAATATTAAGTTGTATAGGGAGTAAGAACTTAAGCAAAAACTTTTCAACTAATTTTGCTGATTCAACGGTAAAGGTTTAATGCGTCTCTTGGGACTTTAATACTTGAATATTTAGTTTTCCATATTCTTAATAGTGGCTGAGGAAAAGTGTCCTTAGCACAAACAACTATCGTTTAATACGGTTTCCTCAAATACGACATGGAGCAAAGAAAAGTTGCCAAATCCTCTGAGGGAATTTTAGGAGAGGAGACAAAGAACATCAATGAGAGTAGCAGTGGGATGTTGAGAAGCAGCGCTGAGGGAGTCTGCTATAAAACACTCACCTCAAAGCTCTTCAGAGCACCTGCACACTCCCCTGTGGTTTAGGAAATCTGCTGTTGTTCATCTAACTTGAAGTATCTCTTAAATCAGACAGGAAGCAGCTTTCTTTTGATCAAGTGAAACACAAAGCTGACTTTTCCCACATGCTCAGTTTTCAGAATAAACTAATTGCAGATCATTATCCGTCGTATTTATAAAAATCATTGTGTGTCGAGATGCTTGTTGACACTATTGTTGTTTACTTGTTTCTAACAACCCTTGGGTTATTTCCATCGTTAGTTTTAATTGAGTGTTTATGATAATTTTTGAATCTGTCTAGACAGCATTTTCAGCTACAATTATGTGAGAGTTTTAACTCAATGGATTTCTTTAATTCCTTTTGTGTTTGACCTTAGAGGAATATCCCACACAATGTATGGAACAACAATAGTTTTTTTCAACAAAGAATTTTGAATTGAAGTATCGATATCCGTCTAGAATCAAAGGTTACATAATCACATCATTTCGATTCATCGCAATTTTACTCAAAAAATTAACTACATTTACAAAAGTGAACAATAGGTATTAAAGAACACTTGGAAGTAGGGATTAAAGCCATACAATTGTCAGTAAAATGTTTTACTTATGTATTATTTGATTGTATAGAGGTCTATTATTTTCTTATAGACGTCTTTACAATTAGATTTATTCTTACAATAAGTGAAGCCGCCCCCTGGTTCGTCCTTTTCTGTGAAACCCAAGAACAAAAACATAATTCTGCTTTCATTCATATGCATCTTGCTGAGATGTGAGCATCCTCTATTTGTCTGTACATGTGTTTTAGAGCGTGATTTTGAAATGTTACGGCCTCCAACACAAAGCAGGAGCATAGCTATGAAGTTTGGCCGTCTTGGAAGGATATTGAAGGGGACCAACTCTCTTTAATAAAATATCCCACACTGAATATTGTATGAGCCAGCTCCAGGTGTAGGCTCCCAAAATCATCATCACCACATTTCACTCTCCCAACACATCCACTGAAAGAGAGCTATTATGTGCCAAAGCAGAAAAAAACAGAAGCTTACCCACAGCTGTATCTCTTCTGTCTTTGTCAGATTTCTTTCTAAAAATCGAATGGGACTGAATCCAAGTGAATACAATTTAGGAAGATTTACAGGCTATTTACTTTTTAGGTTCGTTTTTTCTTTTAATATCATCGCTATTAATCAATGCCGCATTGTGGTGATCTAGAGAGCCTCAAACACAGCCTTGCAGCTGACAGAAACCTCTCGGGGGATTCTGTGATAATGCAGAGTAATAAGTACTAAGAGCTCACTAATCACTTGGCCACATGATAAGACCATTAATCTTGCCGCCCATGCAGCTCAGCTCCGAAGGATCTCTGCTTTTTTAGCCAGAGAGCAAAATATTAAAAAGCTTTAACGCGGCAACCGATCACTGAAGTCATAAAGCATGCTTGCACAGATCCATAGATGTCAGGAACCCATGTCTGTCTATTTCCAGGAGCCTGGACAACATCCTGCTAAATGACGACAGATATGATTCATGACACTATCCCTGCTTATTTGGAGGCATGCCGATACCTCGGACTGTGTTGCTGTCATGACCAATCATAATTTTTTTCTGCTGCTAATCAACATATTTCATTGGACCACCTGATCAGGTTACTCCCTGAGGGTTTGCAAGACAGCTGAAAGTAATCTACAGCCAGCAACATTAAATATCCGTCCCAGCATGTCCCAGATGATGTGAACACAGACTGTGGGAAACCTTTTCAGCATGACAGCACAGGCCAAATAATGCCGTCTGCCTACTGAATAACCATGAATAGGGTTTTTCATATTTTCCACTGTTGTGCATCAAATATGCAGCTGTATTGAATTTTGATGTTACAGAAAAAGAAAGGAAAAGCAATGTACCGTTAATAAAAGCCTTCTGCAGCTTTGGATCTACTGTCAGTAGTGTTCAGTTGTTAGGATAAAATGCCTTTGGATTGACCTTGTCTTCCATTTTATAAGTTTCCTAACTGTTTTACAGCAGATGTACATACCTAAGTTAATTCAACCAAGACAAATGAAAGTTCACTCCCTTCCCTCTTCGTCTCTATAATTTTATTCAACTTCACCTGATTTAACTGCGATGCATTTCATTGCGAGCAATTTGGTTTCCACTAGACTGCTTTAATAAGGGTAAGGTAGGGACATGTTCAGGGTGGGGTTCATGGTTCATATTAATTATGAGGACCGCTCTTAATTTATATTTTGTCTGAACACTCACAAACAGCTGGGTGTTGATTGGATTGTGATACTACATTCAGTTTTAATGAAAAACATCCAGATATGTCTTTCAATGTCCTAAAAAGATACTGAATCATTAGATTTATATTTGCAAACCCTATACTGAATACATACTGTATACTCCCCCAAATATATACTGGAGGTACTCAGCCTTTGGGCAGCTATAGTTGTTATCAGTTAAGTGGGTCATGGCTGAGCTTACTGCATTTAAAGGAATAGTTTCAACTTGGGAAATATACGTTATGCCCGATCAGACATATTAATGCATATTAGCAACCTTGGGAAGCTTAATGTTACTGTTTGTAAAGAGAGAAGTCATGCTTGCTGTTTTTGTGATGTGTTGT